TGGGTTCCAGCAACTGTCGGGGGGTATACCTCTTGATACTATCTATCGATCAAGTATCGATTATCACTCTTGTCTTTTAATGTCACTTGATAACTTCCTACTGATTACACCAATAACAATATTTTGCATATGAAGCAGTTATTTTAATGACCAATTAATTGAAATGATCTGATGAGTGGAACCTATAGTTGCTATGAGGGCTAAATAATTGGAACCTTATTACCTATTTACTGCTGTCCTTCTCTCCTAAATGAAGCCTAGGACCTCAACGATTTCTTTAAATCTTTTGTTACCTGCTTCTCTCGTGATCTGGTTCCAGTGCTGTGCGTCTTTAAGTTCCTGGTGCATGGTTCTTCGCCATGTCTTAGCTGGAGCTTCAAATTTTACGGGTACACATAGCTTACTTGAAAGTACTATTACTGGAAAATGATTTTTATGAAAAAATGTCCAAAAAATTTTAGCGTCACTTTGTGAAAAATGAAGTTTTGCTATTTTATTAGAGAGGTTTCAACAAGTAGTAGTAATTTATTTATTATATTAATTAATTGAATTTTTGGCTGACCAATACAGCTGTTTCGAGTATTGTCAAATACCCAACAGCAGTGTTCTTGGAATTATTTCTTATATTTAATTATTAGTAAAAAAATTTTTTGAAATTGCAAGTACCAAGTGTTGAACTTGTGCCCTGCAAAATTTGAAGCTCAGAGCCAGTGTTCATTAGCCAACTGACCCAAAGCTGTACTTGACTTGTATGTTCAGTAACAAATTTACTTCCTGGCTTGTACTCGTATTAAAATAAAATCCTAAACCAGCTGTAGCATAATTGAATTAATTAATTTTATTTTCATTTTTAATTGATAAATTTCAATTAATTTAAAATTTTATGCAATAAAATCAAAGCACTGTAAATACACATCAAATTGCATCAAATGAAAGTATATGTAATGAACTGAAATCGGTACCGATTTGTGAAATACAACTTAAGCGATACAAATGAACCATTTTTATAATACAGTGAAAATCTTAAGCATTTTAAAATAAAAATATATCTAATATATAAATAAATATATAGTATTATTTAATTTGAAATCGTTTAATTATACTAAATCTACCTATCTTAATCTATCTATTAATACTATCTGAATCTATGTGAAACTTTTTTGAACTTGAATTTTTTGGTGGTTATTTTTTAAATAGCATATTGGTTAAAATAACTAATTTTATTCAGTATTATTTAAAAAATTCAGTATATAGTTCTCTTAGTAATTTTTAGTTTTCTACTGCTAGTTACAATAGGACCTGCAAAATTAGTCTTGTTTATATTTTAGTAAATCCTTTAGTTGGTTAGTAGGGCTATGCTCCAAAAGTACCAGAACAATTCAGTGTTATGCAGTAAAAATATATGTATTCCCTAAATCCTTTCATATGGCAACATACGGCATTATATTTAACATGCAAAATCTTTAATTTCTTAGTTAATTATAAATAATATTTTTTTACTTATTATTGGATGATCTGCAAGATTTACAATATCCAATATTTAACTTTCTTTTAACGTAGGTTCTATTTACATATTTGAAATCGTCTTAATAATTATAACGTTTTCCATCGAAAATTTTGGGCAGCCTTTGCCGGGTTTTGTTTTTAACCTCAATTTTTCGTCGGTTGCTTGTTCATTTTTCCCTGCTGCTTTTTAAATATTAACGAAGTGGCCTCAATCCAGTTGAAACAAAGATAAGAGAAGCTATGTTTATATATAAATACAAGAAAATGTTTATATTAATTGCAAAATAAAAAACAATCATAAAAGGAACTGCTACTTCAGATGTAGCATATAATTTGCTTAAGGGTGCAGAGTAACTCAATTTTAACACTGCAATTTTTAACACTCTTTCCTGTCGTTGTGTTGCGAGTCTACATCTTTGAAGATGTTATAAATCAGTGTATATGACAGCATTTATCTTATGCACTTTCAATGACTGCAACTGCCAGCTTTCACTTCATTCGGTGTTTACTTTAACATACATTTGAAATTTTAACTTTACAGTTTTCTACTCTTGCAATCGTTACGAGGGTCAATAATATATTATATATTTTTAGCAAAAGTGAAACACACGGTCCGATATATTTTTAACATGTTCTTTACTTCGCTTTATTAACTATACTAAAAATGAATAATGAATAATAATTACAAAAGGAATATAGAATAATGACAGGCCAGAGTTGCCAGGCAATTAATATTTAAAAAGTACTTTACATAACAACACCCCCTCTTAAAGTGCTTTTATTATGTATAAAATATGACTTTAATATTTCATTCCTAATTTCCGTAAGCAATTAACATGCTTTTCTGTAGTGAGTCCTTTGGTAAGGACGTCTGCGGGCATTTCTTCTGTTGGCATATATTTGATTTTAACAGTGCCGTCGTTAACCTTGCTGCGAATAAAGTGATAACGAATATCAATGTGCTTTGTCCGTGGATGATACCTGAAGCTTTCCGTTAATTTTTGAGCGCTTTGATTATCATTAAAGATTTCAATTGTCTTACTTGTAATGCCAACATCATCAAGGATTGCCTTTAGATATAACACTTCTTTTGTGGCCTCAGATATGGCCATATATTCTGATTCAGTGCTTGAAAGCGCTACTGTACGTTGCTTTCGAGCTTCCCAACATATCGCTGCTCCTGATATAATGAACGCATACCCTGAATATGAACGTCTATCGTTTAAGTCAGCGCCCCAATCAGCGTCAACCAAACCATACAATTCTTCATTGTCTTTCTCATACAATAGACCATAGTTGCTTGTACCTTTAAGGTATCTTAGAATTCGTTTT